CGTTGCAAGGTCGTCAGGACGGTCGGACGGGACTGTGCAACGAGTCGTAGAAGCCGTAACGCTGGTGGGTAAAATCGAGGATACCAAGCATCCAGTGACCAGGAACAAAGATGGGAAAGATCACACATCGCGTTTACACGCCGTAGGATGACCTTCTTAGGATTCGGGTGGCTTGTTCGAGACTTGGATCGTTCGTCATGCTCTCGAAGAAGTGACTGTTCAAAAAGGCAAATCTTGGCATAAATTGCACCAGGCTCGCCATGAAAAGGTTGATCATGTCCTCACCAATTCAGACATCTAGTGAAAGAAGCGATTCCAAGTTGAAATCGCGAGCCCGAGCCATCGAGACGTAACTCAATCTCTCCACGCAAGACAGGGCTGGGGGTACATCCGATGAGAGCATGATGCCAGTACTCTGTCTAGTACTAGGAGTACTAGAAGGACAAAATTTGATACCGCATCGAGTAAGCTTACAGTTAATGATTACTATACGTATACTACGTTGTACTACAGTACAGTACTTTGTAGTACAGAACTGTACCTGGTACTGTAAAGGACGACATTTGACACTGTATATACTACAGTACAGTACAAGGTACTAAATATAGTATTAGTACTACTATTAACAGTTAATAGTACCGTACAACTACGACGTAGTACTACTACGTAGTTGGTATTAATAGTACAGCAAAGAAGTACTATGAAGATTGATTTTCACTGTGTTTCCTCATAGTTATATCAAGCTATATCTGATTTATAGGAGAATTATACTAGTATACAAAGGTATATACAAATTCAGTGGCCCATTCGGTGGTAGCGTAAACAATCATTGATTTGCCGAACGTCTTGCCCAATAGGATCCCAGAATTGATATGATTGGATAAAACTATGACCGCAGTAACGAAACCCTTAGTTAGTTGATATTAATCGGGGAATTTTGTTATAGAATTTCAACCTTATTCAGAGGCACGTTGAGCGCATGATACTTATTTGCTTTTATAAATAGATATTTGTATCGTTTCTCGAAGCATTTCCAATACTTCTATATTTCGGCATATCAATGATCACTGTTTGGAGTGGCCATCTTTACAATTTTATTACTTCAATTCCAATCATTTTAATTCTCTTCTATCTAAATCTAACTAAAGAGCTTTGACCAAAGAAAACTACGTATCGTTCAACATACTCATAATAATCTTTAAGATATTTCCAGTTGAATATACAGTGCATACGAACAGTTATGTACACTACATTGCGTATGTTAATCAGTAACATTAAAAATACGTCATAATAATCCTTTAAAATATGTGTAGTTGAATGCTACCAAGTATACGTACAGTGCATTGGATATGTTATTCAAGTGAAGTAACGTCCGAA